CATGCGCCCGAGGATCAGAAGACGGTCCAAACCGCGCGATTTTGCGCAATGTAGCCTCAAGCCGCCCCCTGTCGTTCCAAGAGGGCCTCCGACACACAGCACGAGGGGAGGTTCAACAAGGGCAATGCAGAGATCAATCTCAATCTGCTTCGAGAGGCTTTGATATTGCTTCACGACAGCACCCAGGCTTCCCAACATAGCTCCTGCATGTGCCATTATAATCGGGAGGGGGCCAGCGGCAGAGAGCGAAGCTCTTACGGATAGAAAGAGGGAAAAAGAGAGAGAGAGAGAGAGAGAGAGGGCGATAGAGGGAGAACAAAGAGAGAGAGAGAGAGAGAGAGAGGGGGGAGAGAGAGAAAGCGAGAGAGAGAGAGAGAGAGAGGGAGGGAGGGAGAGGGAGAGAGGGAGCGAGAGAGAAGGGGAGAGGGACAGCGAGAAGGATAGAGGGAAGAGAGCGACAGGGAAGGAGAGACGACTAACGAACAGGAGAGGGGATGGGGAGGGGGACCAGCAAACCCGAAATGGGCACAGTAAACATGGTGCGATGCCTCACAGCAAACCTCGCCCAAGACCTAATTACAGTGGCCGCTGCTGGGCAAGCGACTCTCTGTCTCAAGCGGACAGCGCCCACGGCGAGGTCGACGCCGAGCCCCGTTCAAAATGGGCAGGAGCTGCTGTCGGTCTTTGTGCTTCTTAGTAAGCGTGGGGGGGTACTCCCCCGGCGGGGGTCAACCTCGCCTCGTCGTCGCGCCGCGACGGGGGTCGGAGCGCCCTCGGCGCGCGGTGGTTGCCCGCGACGGGGGTCGATGCGGGGCTGTCGGCGGGGGTGACACCCCCACGGACGCTTATCAAGAAACTCGGAGTGCAAATTTCGATCGTAGGGGAAGGGGAGGGGGGAGGGGGAAGGGCGACGGGGAACGGGAGACTCCAACGCCGCCGCGTCGCCGGCCGACGAGAGGCCGCGTGCGAGCGCGCGGGAGAGCGCGCACGGCATGGCGAGGGGTGGACGAAGAGGCGCCCACGAAGCGCCGCCCTCGCGGCGCTCCTGCTCGCCCTCGAGGCCGCCCCCCCCTTCTGCCCCTCGCTCCCCCTCGCTCCCCGCCCCTTCTCCTGTGTATATATGCACCCCCCCCCGCTGGCGCCTTGCACGATGCTTTCTCTCTTTTTTTTGCACTCCAGGTCCGCAGTGACACACTCGCGTCTCCTCCTCCTTCTGCCCCTCCCCCTCCGCCCCTCCTCCTAGGTATGTGCAGTTCAACCTTCCCCGCTCGCGCCTAGCACGATGCTTTACCCTTTTTTGCACTCCAGGTCCGCCATGGCACACTCGCGTTTCCTCCTCCTCCCCCCCCTCGCTCCTCCTCGTCCTCCTCCTCCTCCTCCTCCTCCTCCTCCTCCTCTCCTCCTCCTCCTCCTCCTCCTCCTCCCCTCCTCCTCGTCGTCCTCCTCCTCCCTCCCCCTCCCCTCCTCCTCCTCCTCCTCCTCCTCCTCCTCCTCCTCCTCCTCCTGTGTGCAGCACCCCTTCTCCAATTGCATGCAATTCGGTCGGTGGGGTCTTGGAGGAGTGACAAGTCCGCTATGGCAAACATCTGCGGGTAGAAAACTTATCCTCGCGAAAGACCCAACCGTACACGCTGGTCGGAAGAAGTAGGTACATCATGAAGTAGGAAGGCGGATGAAGTAGATTGGGTTCAGACCCTCCCAGATAATAACAAACCACAGCCAAAGCGCATCGGCTCTTGAAGTGAGAAGGCGCTTGAAGTAGATTGCGGTCTGGAAACCAGAAATGCCTACTTTAAACGACTGGCGTGTATGCAAATGTGAATACTGTATTGTGGCACCGCTTTCGGTGGAGCTCCCAATGGGGCCACGAACCATGTGAAGGGTGCGCCAAAATGGAGCGGCACCGCCATGCGGATCCTGTCACTGGGGCATTCGGCCGAGACCCCTGTGGGGCCACGAGCCGTGTGAGGTGTGCATCAAAATGGGGCGGCGCCGCCGTGTGGACCCTGCCACTGGGCCCTTCGGCTAAGTTCCCTATGAGGCTACGGGCCGTGTGAAAGGTACGCCAATGTGCGGCGGTGCCGCCATGTGGGCCCTGCTATTGGGGCCTTCGGCTGAGCTCCCTACGGGGCCACGAACCGTGTGAGGGGAGCGCCAACATGTGGCAGTGCTGCCATGTGGACACTGCCACCGAGGCCTTCGGCTGAGAGCCCTGTGGGGCCAGTCGTGTGAAAGGTGTACCAAAATGTGGCGGTGCCGCCATGTGGACCCTGCTACTGGGGCCTTCGCCTGAGCTCCCTATGGGACCACGAACCGTTTCAGGGGTGCGCAAAATGGGGCGGTGAAGCCAGAGGTCCCTATGGGGCCACGTGCCGTGTGTGGGGTGCGCCAACATGGGGCGGCGCCGCCATGTGGACCCTGTCACTGGGGCCTTCGGTGGAACACCGGGGCCACGAAACGCTGCACTGGGGGGCCGAACACACAAACATGCGGAGGGCAGAGGCAGGGATGGGAGCAGGGTGGAGCGGGAGCAGGAGGCGGAAGGAAGGGACGCGGGGCGCTGTCTCTCCAAAGCGAGGACCAAACACCACAGGAAGGTTGGGAACAATCAGTCCGATGGGAAGGGATGGATGGGGTAGATGGGATATCAGATATGTCGCGAGCGCACCTGGCTTGTCCCCCCCCCCCTGGCTCCCCCCCTTCTCTCTCCTTTCTCCCTCCTCCTCCTCCTCCTCCTTCTCCTCCTCCTGCTCACTCCTGACGGGACACAGCGATGGTGATGAGGCACAGGAGAACGAGGAGGCGGGGGAGGATAACGATGACGACGATGCTACTGCTGCTGACGATCATGATGATGGTGACGTTGATACTGATGATGATGGTGGTGGATGGTGGTGGTGATGATTATGATGATGGGTAGCAACATGATGATGACGAGGAGGATGAGGAAGAGGAAGAGGAGGGGGAGGGGCAGGGAGAGAAGGGAGGACGAGGGGGAGCAGGACCAGCAGCAAGAGCAGTATCAGAACGTGCGTTGGCGCCCACGTGTGCCTGTCCATCGATGCCTTTCGATACCACGCGGGCGGTGTAAGAAGGGCCGGCGCAGGCCGCGTGCTCCCAGTGGAGCTGAACGGGGTACAGCACACATTGAGCCAACACTTTTTTGCGTCGGCGGCGAGGCAGGGGTCGTGTGCGCTAGCAGAAAGGCCTGAACGGGGGTGCCGTGAGAGCGAATCGTGCCATTGAGCCCACACACGTTCCCGACAAATGGGCACCACCGTGAATAATCTCGACCGCAACCCATCTTTCTGCGGCACTTTTCGAGCCCGATCGATCTGTGATGGCCCCAGGCTCGACACCGGGGAGAACATGCCAAGAGCGAGAAGAGTCCTGAGGGTTGTCGGCCCTCTCCTGGGTAGGCTCCTGGCTACGCACAGACCCCCCCCAGGCAGCCCCGGCTGGCCTCAGCGGGCCCCCCCGAGTAGTCCAGGGCGGTCTCAACACCTCAACCCTGGGGCGCGGAACACCCCAGGGGCGCCGCCGGAGGCGGCGCCGGGGTGCTGCGGACCGCCCTGGACCACCTTGGGGGCCTGTGGGGGCCACCCGGGACTACCCGGGGAGGCTGTCCGTGCGCAGCCCGAAGCCTTCCCACCATCGACCCTCCCCTCTCCCCACGCCCCCCCTGCGACCCTTCTGCGCCCGCCGCCGCTCACTCCGCCAAGTTCGGCCCCGGAGATCCCGCCCCCCCTCCCTGGGGCCATTTTTCTCGTCCCGGAGTTGGCTCTGGCGCTCCCAGACTCTGGGAACGATCTTCGGAGGCCCAAGTCGAGGGAACACCGCCGGTTGAAAACATCATATCGTCAGAGATCTGGGTCGGCCCTCCCCCCTTGGCCTTCGGGTCATAACTCGGCTCTCGGGCGGCCGCTCGGGATGATCCAGGCCCCCCCCGGAACGCTTCTGGCGTGGCGCAGCTGCTCGGCCGTATCCCGAGGCTGGAGAAAACCACCAAGACCCAACGAACGCGTCCGAAACTTTCAGCCTCGAGCCTGGAACTTCTCCCCCCCTCTGCGGCCCCTCTGCGCCCGCCGCCGCTCGCTCATTCAGCTTCGGCCCCAGAGGTCCCGACCTGGATCCGTCTCTTGTGGCCCTGGGGCCCAACAACAGGCTCAGGAGGCCCACAACTATGAAAATTGGCGGTTGAACAGACCAGATGGGCGACGATCAAAAACGAGTTTCACGCGAGATGGCACGGCGACCTGACGCGGTAGCGAGGGTGCGTACGCGCGACCTTACGCGAGCAGCTTGCGCGCCAATGTCGGCGCAGACGACCCAATTCTTTTGGCGTCGCATTATATAGAAGCCTCCTACACCGGGTCGGAGTAGTTGGATGGGGTCGGAAAATCGCGCCGTATCGGCGATGCGTCTGCGATGCATCGGCGATGCACCGGCGATGCACCGGCGATGCATCGGCGACGTCGATGATGCATCCGCGACGTCGGCGTGGAGGAAATCTGGCCCACATCGAGCCGCATCGGCGATGCATCGCCGACGCATCGGCGATGCGGCGCGATCCTCCAACCCTATCTACTCCGACCCCATCTAGGAGGCCCAGACAAATCGCCCCCCCTCTGCAGCCCCTCTGCAGGAAGGCCCAGAATCGAATCGACAAGTCGGATCGGCGATCGAAATGAAATCGGATCGGCAGAAATCGGCAGCCACGTCGGAAGAAGTCGAATCGCCGGAATTCGGCAGGCTAATAGGCCTCCGAGAAGAATTCGGATCCCACCTCGGAATGCGAAGTCGAATCGAATCGGAATCGGACTCCATCGACATCGAACCGGCTCGAATACCGGCGGCATCGACACGAGCCCCGTATTCCCCCCTCTGCGGCCCCTCCTCCTCCTCCTCCACCTCCTCCACCTCCTCCTCCTCCTCCTCCTCCTCCTCCTCCTCCCCCTCCTCCTCCTCCACCTCCTCCTCCTCCTCACGCCGCCCGCAGCCCCTCCGCAGCCCCTCCGCGCCCGCCGCCGCTCACTCCGTCAGCTTGTGCCCCACGGCGCCGCCGCCGCCCCGCCCCGGGGGCGGCGTCCCGCGGCTGGCCGCCGAGCCCGAGCGGCTTCCCTCGGGCGCACCCGCGAAGACGGCCCGGGCCGCCGCGACCTCTGCCGGGGAGCGGGGCCTGAAGACCTCCGCCCACCCCTCCTCCTCCTCCGCCTCCTCCTCCTCCTCCTCCTCTTCCTCCTCCTCCGCCTGCCCCTCCTCCTCCTCCTGCCCCTCCTGCTCCTGCTCCTTCTCCTCCTCCTCGTCCTCCTCCGCCTGCCTAGGCGTCTTCTCTTTTTTAAACGCGTCGCATGCCTGTGTCGAAACCTCAGCTGTTAGAAAATTGCGACGTCAAGGGTCTGGGAGGGAAGAGAATTGAGCAAGTACCGACCGTCCCAGCATTCCTAGAAGCCTACCACGAAATATGGGTATACTCCAGAAATGTAATAAGAATAGGAGCCATGTGCTTAGAACATAAACCCGATGTGTTGTTCAACCAAGATAGTCTCAGCCAGAACCGTTCTAATGACATTTCGTGCAGACCACAAAAGGTCACTATGATGTTCTTTGGTGGGCCTATAGGCACGCCGAGACGCTTCGCCACTGCTCTTGGGGGGGGGGGCGGGACCTTCGAGACGGGCGGGGCACAGCTCGACAAGACGCTGCCGTGAGCATCGCTGCAAGGTTCGCGACTGTCCCTGGAGCATCCCCGGGGATGTCGCTTGTGTCATACGAAATGCTGAAGAGCGAAGAGGAGGAGGAGGAGGAGGAGGAGGAGGAGGAGGAGGAGGAGGAGGAGGAGGGAGGAGGGAGGAGGAGGAGGAGGAGAGGAGGAGGAGGAGGAGGACGAGGAGGACGACGAGGAGGAGGAGGGGAAGGGAGGGGTAGCAGGAAGAAGGGGACAGGATGAGGAATAGGGGAACAGAGGCGGAGGAGGAGGAGGAGGGGGTGGGTGGAGGTGGAGGCGGAGGAGGAGGGAGAGGAGGATGACCAGAAAAAACCCGACATGCATCAATGATGCTGCAATGCACTCTCCCGTCAGGTTCCCTCCCCATGCGACCCCCCAAGCATTTCTGCCCGCTTCTTGAAACACCCCCTTGAAATAACAACACCCTGTAGGCCTGCCGTTCAAGCGAGAAACGAATTTTGGAAAGGAGCTGTCTTACATCCGTCTAGCTGGTAACTAGGGATGCGCAAACGTATGATCGTACATATCAGCGAGGTGTCTAACGAGATCGCCATTTCGGGGAAGGACCGCCTCCCATCCTCACTGCTGGTCAAAAGCGCTGAAAGAGCTTCAAGCGACAATCCAAAGGAGCCACCCTCCATCAGCGCCGCAATACCATCTGTTCAAGTTCCTGGTCTGTTCATGGAAAACACGAAGCAAACACCCGATTTAGTAGAGGAGCTCCCTACATCCGTGCACCTGTTGCATACGCTCAAGGTTCTGATCTGGAGATTTCAAGAATTCTGAAGCGGAAACCCAACTTTGAAAAGGAGCCGCCCGCCATCCCAGTAACCGCCACAAGGCTTTAAGATATGGCCACGGCGATGAGGCGCGAGCCCGTTGTTGAAAAGGAACCGCCCTCCATCACTGAAGCTGCAGCAAAGTTTTCAAATGAATGCGCGCGGCGCAAAAGGCGAGAGCTCCGTTTCGAAAACGGCCCGCCCTCAATCCTAGAAGACGTTGTCATGGTCAAATTTCAAGACACCACATCCTGAGGCAGCATCGAGCGACATACCCCGCCTGCCCTACTGAAGCGTCCGAGGGTGCGACAAAGAAGATGTGTAGAAGAAACAAGGGTTGCTGGGGGAGAAGGTCAAAAGCTGGGAGGCAGTGAGCGAGCTTCGGGGAGCGAGGCTCGAGGATCGACGTCTCTGCAAGCCGAAGCTTCTGAAGCTCTTCGATTTCCTGTCTCAGGGAGACTTCTGGTGGCCATGGCTGGGATCCTATCGAACCTCTGGCAAACCAAGCACGGGGTGGCTCGAACAAGCCGAGACGGCCGGTTTCTCTCCGTCTGGAGCTGGATTTGCCTGTCTCCCCAGCAGTGCATCCAAATGGGTGCTACGAGCCGACCGCCTTGCTTTGGTCGTGCGCAGGCGTATCCTTGGGAATACCGTGGAGGGCATGCGGACAGGGCAAGCTGTGGACCTTCGTGAGGGTGTCAAGCGCCCGCGTCACAGAGCTCAGCAGTTAATCGTAAAGCCTTCAGCAGCTCATGTGTTCGCAAGGTCTCACTTCACACATTGCGTGCAATAATATCATCGTACAGCCTGTTCACGGTGTCAGGTGTCGACCTCACTCGACAAACGCTAAGAGTGGATGGACTCACCTTGTCGTGACCGTGTTAATGGTAAGCCTCCTCCTCCTGGGCGCAGGGTGCGCATCTCAGGGAGTTCAGTTCGCAAATCTCAGCTCTTGGCGTGTAATGGGTGGGCTGAGACTATGGCGTTGCACTTCCTTGGGTGTTTTGCAGCTCAACAGCGCGCCGAAACTGGCCGAAGAGTGCATGCCAACAACCGCTGGTACTGGTCAGTATCTCTTAATCAATCTTTATCGCGGGCTGTGGCCTACGGAAGGTTTACAGCTGAACAAAGAAAACCAAAAAACAACGAATGCATTACTCGAAGACCCATCCTCCTCTTCATCCCCTACCATGATCCTCCTCACCCTCCCGGCCCTTGCTGGATGATGGCGCTCTGATTCTGGGGGGGGTCCTCATCCTCTTCCCCTATCCGCCTCTTTCAATCGTCCATCCTCCTCCTCTCCTCCTCCTCCTCCTCCTCCTCCTCCTCTTCCTCCCCCTCCACCTTCTCAGTCACCTCTGTGTGCAAGTACTCACTATGATCACTTCTCTCCTCACTCCCTAATTCCCTTTTTTATTTACCGCCGTCAATTTTGCATATTGCTTTCCCTACGCACAGGATTGTGCTTTTGACGCGTTTTTCACCGTTAGCGCGATTTCCGCTCCGCAACGGTTGCGCCATGGCTACAGCATTGGCCACGTTTGTCCCGTCCAACGCAACGTCGCTCTCGCCGGATCGCCGGCCGTATTCTCGCATCAGCAGAGGTGGTGGTCCCGCTAGGGCGTTTGCCACGTTTGAGGATTTCCGTGGAGTTTCCGTCCCATGGGACGGCGCTCTCCCCGCAGCGCTGGCCGCACTCTTGCATCACCAAGTCTGTGACCCTCAGGGCAGCGTTTACGTACCACATGTCGCGGTTTCCATCGAGTCTTCGTCAAAAAGAAGCACGCTCTTGCCGTCGCGCTGGTCGTACTACTGCATCAGCAACAGCAACAGCGGCGCTCGCGTTTTGACGTTTGCCGTATTTCATGACAAAGCGATCATTTCAGGATCCAGGTTTTTCTCGACAACCGACCCTGTGAGTAAAGGGGGCCCAGCTGCATGGTAAGGGGTGGGAGGGAGGCGTATGATGTCAGATGTAAAACTCATGGCACGAACGCACCCGCTTCGCCACCTACCCTTTCCCTTCCTCCTCCTTCTGCTGCTGCTCCTGCTCCTTGCCATACGATTGTTCCGCCTCCCGCTCTCTCCTGTAAGTGACTCCTGCATGCCGCACCACCAGACGGGTCGGCAGGTCGGGCGGGGAACTTCGCCTGATACTTCTTCGCCGCTTCTGACCCTGAAGCTTGCAAGTTCCAAGAGGTACACTGACGGGAATAAGGATCGCTGAGAACATGGGGCTCTCGCTTTAACGCGGCGCACATGCGTTTCAACAATTTGTATCAGGTGCACGGATCGATGGGGTGGGGCGGTTTTCAAATCGAGCTCACGCCTCTGCGCTGCGAGCACTAGTACCGAGGCTTGCAGAAGCTTCAAGGATGGAGGGCAATTCAATTTCAAAACGTGCTCTCGCACTAGCGCCGTGCAATTTCGTCTTCAAAGCTTGAGACAGTCACCATCGCGGTGGGCGATTCATTTTCACAGTGGGCGTTCCGTTTGGGGCTTCTGTGAACTTAAGCACCAGAACTTTGAAACACTAGAGCTTGCACCTTATCGCCTCAGCGCTGCGCAGATGCGTTCTAATACCGCTAGCCCTTTGGGCTAAGGTGGTCTAGCGATATCTGTCTTCGGGGGGGTACCCTCCCCCTCTCCTCCAAGGTTTTTTTTGTCGGGGGGGGGTCGCAACCAGCCAGGGCACCCAAGATTGCCCAAGATGGCTCCAAGAGGGCCTCTGGCTGAAAATAACCGACGATGGCTCAAGGTAACTTCCGACATACCTCCAAGAGGCCCGACGACGGCCACAAGACGGTTCCAAGTGCTCTCGGAGCCCTCCCAGGACTCTCCAAAGGGGCCCGAACCCTTGTAAACACCTGAAGGACATCACTGATTCTTGCCTTCTCGTTTTTTCGCGTCTGATGCGCTTCTGAAGCCTCGCGATGGCTCCAAGATGGTCGAAGGGAGGCCCACGACGGCCCCCCAAACGGCCCCACGAGCGCCCAAGAGCGGCCCACGAGCGCGAATGTGATGGCCCTCTGCGGGGGGGGAGGAACATTCTGGATCGATGGCCCCAAGAGGCCCTCCAAGGCTCCCAAGAGGGCCCCACGAGAGCCCTAAGACGGCCCAAGGGCGTCCAAACGCGCCCCAAGAGCGTCCCACGAGGACCCCGAGGGGTGGTTTGCCGCCTCCTCCTCCTCTTCCTCCTCTCCCTCCTGCTCCTCCTCCTGCTCCTCCTCTTCCTCTTCCTCCTCCTCCTCCTCCTGCTCCTCCTCCTCCTCTTCCTCCTCCTTCTCCCCTCGCCCCCCTCATCCCTCCCCACCCCCCGCGGGCCTCAGGGATAGCCCGAAGAGGCCCTTCATGGCCACCCCCTTGCTCCCAGAGATCTCTCTGTTCATTCCGGTAACCCGCTTTGTTTGACTAAATGTGTCTCTTCGTCTCTTTCCCCGTCAGCTCTCTGAGCAACGTTTCTGAACGGGCTGGTGGGGATACGTTTTTGTTCGCGAGCGCAATCGGAAGTGTCGCCGCGCGCCGTCCAGGAAATTGCAAACTATAGCAGCGGCCTAAAGTTTTTTGTTGTCGCGGCCGCAAGCGGAAGCGCAGGCGGCGTCAGACGTCCGCCAGGGCTACGAGCCAACCCAATTACCTAAGCGCGCGAGCGAACGGCCGCCGAGGCTGCCGCCGAGGGGCGCCGGAGAGCGACGCAGGGCACCGAAGGCAGCACCGCAAGTGGTGCCAGGAGCGCCAGGCGGCGGAAGGGCAACCATTCCAGGGGTAGGACCGCCAGGAAGGTGAACGAAGTTGAAGGGGCCCTGGGACACACAAATAAATACACACAAATAAAACAATCCATATGTTTTCCAATATTTTCTGGTTTTTGTCTTCCCCACCACTTCCCATGCTTTCCCATATTTTCTGGGGAATCGACGATTAATTGTGTCTGTGTGTGTTTTTCCCCTCCTGAGAAGTGTACCTTGTCGCGCACGGCGCCGGAGGTAAACAGACCACCCGAGCGAAACATGATTTAGCGTGGGGCGAGCAGCCCAACGAACCAGAGTCGCATACCAACAGTGACGACCTCAGGCGGTGAACAAGAAGGCTAAACCTCTCATGAACGATCCACGTGGAAGTGCATCCCACCATTGCAAGGCGGCAGCTGCAAACACGGCCAGGCAGTGGCGGTGTCTGGGGACCAGGGGCCAGGAACATGCGAGCATGCAAGCTGAAGCTGGTCGACGTGCAAGTCACCGGGGCGCCAGGGTTGCCTTACCAGGCTCAAAGGAGCCTGCACGGACATCAAGGACGCCATGGACTGAGGACGACAGCCTGGGAGCCGCAACCAGGCTATGGTCGGCTGCAGGGCGGCGGTGGCCAGGGGGTGGCCAGACGGCGCCAAGAGTTTTTGTTGTTGTTTTTTCCTGGTGGGGATACGCTTTTTCGGTCGCGGCCGCGCGACAACGGTCTGGCGGCGAGAGGCAAAATCCGGGGCAGGCGGCACGATGCGAATTTGCGAACACAGCTGCCACGTAGGCAAGCCGGTTCGCACCTGCACAACAACCTGGTGGGGATACGCGAAGCGTGACGAATACGTTGCAACTGCAAATATGAAAACTGTGCATTTCCACGCTGGGCTCTCGCTTTAGCGCCGCACGCATTCGTCTTACAAGGCTACAGCAATTACTCGGGTGGAGGGAGTTTCTCCTCTCAAAGTGGGACTCTCGCCTTAGCGCTGCGCGCACTCGTCTTAAACGTTTGCATCAGATACACGGATGGATGACAGTTCCTTTTCACAGTGGGGCTCTCGCTTGAGCTCGTCATCCCCTTCCCTCTCGTCATCCTCGTCGTGATCCTCCTCGTCGTGATCCTCCTCGTCCTCGTCCTCCTCCTCCTCCTCGTCCTCCTCGTCCTCGTCGTCCTCCTCCTCGTCTCGTTTTTCATCGTCCTCCTCCTCCTCCTCCCTTTGACCCTCCGCCGCCACTCCCCATCCACAACGGAGGGCCTGCCCTCCGCCGGCCAGCTGGTGCGGCAGGGGCGGCGCGAAGGGCGAGGCGCCGCGCCCCGCGAGCTCCTGCCGCGAGTGCGCAGGCCCCCGTCGTCGCTGCCGTCGTCGTCTCGCTGTCCTCTCCTCGCCGTTGTCGTCCGTTCGTCGCCGTCCTTTCGTCGTCGTCGTCGTCCTTTCGCCGTCGTCGTCGTCCGTCTTTTCCTCGCCGTCGTCGTCGTCCGTCCGTTCGTCGCCGTCGTCGTCCGTCCGTTCCTCGCCGTCGCTGTCCTTTCGTTGTCGTCGTCCGTCCGTTCTTCGCCGTCGTCATCCGTTCGTCGCCGCCGTCGTCGTCGTTGTCAAGGGGCCGCTGTGGCTCGATTCCGCTCGGAGTCGCAGCATCGCCGCCCTCCCGGCGCGGTATCATCGTGACGTCGACAGCGATGGATGCAATGCTGATGTTAGTGGCGCTGGTGGCGACGATGACGATGACGACGGCCAAGCCAATGACGGCGCCAATGTTGACCGCGCCAATGACTATGATGGCACCCGCGCATCGGCGATGAAGGTTGTGCAAAAGATTTCGACGCGCGCGCGGCTGACGGGTGCGAATGGCCTGCGGAGTATTATTTGATCGGGGCCGTGCCCCCCCTCCCCGAGCACGCGCGCAAAGGGCTTTCGAATGATTTCGACATTCGCGCGCGCGATCAGCCCGTTTGGTCGTATTTGATGACCATGTTGAGCAACTGTGGTTGTCTTACGAATGTGCAAGGGCGAATACTGGTTCCGTTTGGCATATGCTGATGGAATGAATGAAGCACCGATAGTTTTCTCAAGAATTCAGAAGCGCGTGTGCAGACATGTTTTTATACTTGCAAGAACGAGAATTTATCTTGAAACAAACAAATGGCGTTGGAAAGCCATGTGTTCTTATGTGTGTTTCGGGGCGCTCGATTTTGATATCCTCGCGTAGCCTATGGTTGTTGAACGATTTCGGCGCGCACGCGTCGACGCGCGCGCGCGCTTCGTCCGGTTTTTGCACGCAATTCTCGCGACTGCTGGCGCGCGATGATTTGAGCGACTTCGACGCGCGCGCGGGGGGCTCGTTTGGTAGCATCGTTGGAAACTGTTGCAGCACCAATTATATTCTTAAGAATTCGCAAGGGCGCGGGCGCAAGCTTTTTTTGAGCATTCTTGTTGCGAAACCACGTTTTCTTATATTTTCTGGGGCGCTAGATTTTGAAATTCCTGCGACACAAGAATTGTTTGGAAGAGTTTGGCATGCCCGCGCTTCGACGGGCGCGCGTGCACATCGTTCAGTTTTTGGCAAGGGATTCTTGAACACGGATGATTATATATATATATATATATATATATATATATGTAAACGACTGCGCGCGCATAACATGTTTTGCAACAGATAAAAGGGGGTTGCTGATACCGGCCTGCCTGGGGTGGTGCGAATTCATGTCTAGGATGGGCAATCGGGCAGAACCGCATGTAAATTGCACTGCGAAAAAGGGAGCCGTTAATTCTGGGGGGTGGCGGGGGGGGGATCCGATAAATTTTTAGCGAGGAGAAGTCGCCCTGCCGCACTGGAGGCTGCCGAGTACAATGCGCGCGCAAGAGCCCTGCCCACCCACCCCCAACTTTGTTTGTAAAACCCATGCGGCGACTGCGATGTCTGCTTGGCGCTGGCCGGCGCATCGCTGCGGCCGCGCTGGCGCGGGCGGGCTCGAAAGCACAGCGGCCAGCTAGTCTGGCGCGACCGACGCGGCCGCGCGGTGTCCCACGGTGTCCCGTGGTGTCCCGTGGTGTCCCATGGTGTCCGGTGAGGTCGACTGCGAAATCGATAATGAGATTGATCGTGAGATCGATGGACCGACCGACTGTGAGATCGACAGATCGTGCGATCGATAATGAAATCGATCGAGTGAGACGCTGCTTCCTTCTCTTCACAACCTCCTTTGCACCCGAAGGGTGGTCGTATAGTCGTATGGGTGTGCATTTTTTTGAAAAAGTTAACAGCTTGTGTGGAAGGTTTCTTTGGGTGATTCTTCTACCGCCCGGCGAGGCATGCTGGGCGCCCGAAGTCGGGAGCCCCTCGCGCCGGCCCCTCGTGGCGCCCCGTCGTGGTCCCCCAGCGTGGCCGCTGAATCGTGGCCCCCATCGTTGCTCCCCATCGTGGCTTCCCATCGTGGCTCCCCATCGTGGCCCCCCATCATCAGCATCAGCATCAGCATCAGCATCAGCATCAGCATCAGCATCAGCATCAGCATCATCATCATCATCATCATCATCATCATCATCATCATCATCATCAATATCAACATCATCATCATCATCATCATCATCATCATCATCAATATCAACATCATCATCATCATCATCATCATCATCATCATCATCATCATCATCATCACCATTATCATCACCATCATCGTCATCCTCCTCCTCCTCCTCCTTTCTCTCACTCCTCCTCTCTCCGAGGGTCCTCGGAGGTTTCTGGAGTTTCTCGGAGGCAGTTTCCGAATGGTTTCCCATGGGTCTTCTCATTGCCTTCCGACGTTCCTCGTTTGGCAAGGTCCCAAGCAAGCGGCGAACATAATGACATGTAATTTTTGTACTTGTGGTGCTAGTGATAACTCCGGAGGGGGGGCGCCGACAATCTTCGCTGATGCTAGCTGTTGGTGCTGGCGACATCGCCAGGGTTGTACTGCTTGCGTTCTAGGGCTGCGCATCATCGCCGGGCTCCTCATCATCGCCTTCGTCCCTCGGCCATGCAAGGCCCCTCCAGCTCGAGCCGCCCGCTTCAGAGCCCAACCCTCGACGCAGAGCGCCCAGACTCGCGGGGGAACCACGGCGCCGGGCCATCCGTCCGCCTTGCGTACAGGCGACCCGTGTCACAGGGACGCGCGATGAAGATGCCAGGGCCTTGGAGGCCCACGCGAACGTTTCTCGAACGAGGCTGGCCAGCGAAAGTCGCTAAGGATGGGCCGAAGGGGCAGGGATGCAAGGGGGACCTTAGGAAGATTGCCCATCCTCACGATGCGGGTGGACTGTAACGTGTTGGTCAAAACGCCCTCCTCCTCAAACGCATCTTCGCACTGCCAAGCGGGAGCAGCTCCGTCCGAATCGCACCCAACCGCACCCCAAGGTGTGCTCCAGGACCCACCCTTCGACGCAGTTCGGGCGCGCGCCTCGAACTGACCCCGACCTGGCGGCGACGATGTGCCTGGACAGCTCCCCAGACTGGTGCGGAGAAACCGAAGCCAACACCCTGAAGTCAACGCAACGAGGCAGCAGACGTCAAGCACGGGGCCGGCGGCGAGCGAGCGGGGGGGACATTAGAAGGAGCAGGCCTTCTCAGAAGGCGGCGGGACTTCTCAGAAGCCCTCGCGCCTTCTGAAAGGCTTGTTTCTGTCTTCCAGGAAGGCTCAGAAACTTTTGAGAAGGCCGACCCTTCTCGCTTCCCCCCGGGCGCGCCGCAGAACGGGGCCGTGGGGGTCCGGAGGCATGGGGAGCCACTCGTCCGGCGCCAGCTCGGTCCAGCGCATCCACGAGTAGCGCAGCTGGGTGCGCTGCAGACTGGCCAGGCACAGCACTAAGCCGCCCACGCGCCCGGCCATCTTCACGCGGTGCTCGAGCTCCACGGAGGCGCGGCATTGCGCCTGGAGCAGCTCGCGCATGATGTCGCTGGCGGCCGCTGGCTTTCCGTGCGCTCTCGTCTCTGAATTCGGCGCGTCCATGGGGATTCTTGCTAGGGCCACGGTTTTCGGCGGCAAGCGAGGGGGGGAAGTGAGAAGGAGAGGACCTTCTCAGAAGGCGGCGGTACTTCTCAGAAAGTCCCCGGCCTTCTGACAGGTTTTTCCTGACTTCGGGGAGGCTTAGAAAACTTCTCAGAAGGCCAGGGGGGGTGGTCCGAGCCTTCTGAGAAAACCCGCCCCTTCTCATTTCCCCCTCGCTCGCCGCCGAGGTTTGCCGTTGGCGCAGGCGACGGGCAGCCAACCAGGACCAATGGCAGCCAACCAGGACCAATGCGGGCCCCCCCCCACCACCCCTGTCAAGAAACAGTGTGAAGTCCACTGTGGGGCAAAATCTTGGGTCATGATCGGGGGGGCCGCGAGCACGTTGTTTTGTTTTTTGACAGGGGCTGCGGGGATGCCCGCATATTGCCTGCTGTGCACAGGGCCAGCATCACTCTGCGTTTGTTTTTGTCTGGGACGGCGGGGGCGCTGGCATATTGCCTGCTCTGTGCAAGCCCACCAGACGCTATGATGGCCAGCCAGCCCGGGTGGTGGGGGCCGACATGTTTCTTGATGTGTACTGTCACGTGCGCAGGCGCACCTGGCACACTCTGCCCTGGCGCACATGGCGCGGCTGGAGCATGCGGCAGACGTAGCGCACGGGGATCACGTGGCGCATCTGACGCACCAGACGTGCCCGGCACGCTTAGGCCTCAGGGGTACCAGGCGCACCTGGCGTGCGTGGCGCGCCTGGCACGCCGGGCCCACCTTGCCCAAGGCTCCCATTACCTGTCCATCCAAAGACTACCGCTGAGCTGAACACACTGAAGCTCAGGTGCTACTCGTGTGTTGGGGGGGGGGGGAGTGAGCGAGACGGCTTGCGGGCGGGGAGGGTTTCTTGACCTCTCCCCCTACCCCCTATCCCCTACCCCAGGACGGGGCGCCCCGCGAGGTGACAAATCGTCCAAGAGGGCCTCGGCGAGAAGGCCAACATCATTGACTTTATTGTTTTGGGTCAAATCTGGCCTCCTGGGGGGCGAGCCGTGGATCGTTGGAGCGGCCAAGATCCCAAGAGCGCCCTGAGAGCCCCGAGGACTGTTTTTGTGTTTGGGGGGGGCTCTCCGACGGAGGGCGACGATGACTGAGACCACCCTCCTTCTTTGATCGATGGCCTCCAAGATGATCCCAAGCCAAGATGGCCTCCCAAGGCCCCCAAGAGAGCCTCAGGATAACCCCAGTAGAGACCCGACGGCCTCTAACGTGGCCCCAGTAGCCTCCCCGATCCAGGGAACTCGTCTGGGCATCGTTTCTGGGTGGGCTGGCGGGGCTCCGCGGAGCGCCAAGAATTTACCCAGGTCCTACTCGACCCCTTCCTCCTTCATCCTTCTTCCGCCTCCTCCGCTCCCCGCTTCTCCTCATCCGCCTTGCCCCCCTTCCCGACCTCAAACTGATCGTCCTCGATTATCTATCCGCCTCCTCCTCCTCCTCCTCCTCCTCCTCCTCCTCCTCCTCCTCCTCCTCCTCCTCCTCCCCCCCCTCCTCCTCCTCCCCCTCCAGGCGCAACCAACATGCATCCGCTTCTTCCGAGCGTGCTCGGGGCCGGGGCGCGCCTGCGAACGGCGACAACGGGCGCTGCGCGTGCCCAGACCTCCGACGCCGTGGAGTGGGCTTGCCCTTCCTAGCGCGAGCGCTGGCGAGAGGACCTTCGCCTCCTCCCCCTCCTCCTCCTTCTCCCCCTCCTTCTCCTCCTCCCCCTCCTCCTCCCTCCTTCTCCTCCCCCTCCTCCTCCCCCTCCCCTCCTCCTCCCCCTCCCTCTCCTCCTCCTGCTCCTCCTCCTCCTCCTCCTCCTCCTCCCTGGGGCCCTTCGCGAGACGACGTGCCGACCGTGCGCCGTCCGCCTGCGCGGGCCGCCAGCGGGGCGCGCCACACCCGAAAACGAGGGCGCTCGCACGCGGCCCTGAGCGGGCAGCTGGCGCGCCAGTGCCGGCGCAGGAGCTCAAGAGTTGTTCTGAAACCACATAACGCGCGTCCTCCTCCTCCTCACCCCCCTCCTCCTCCTCCTCCTCCTCCTCCTCCTCCTCCTCCTCCTCCTCCTCCTCCTCCTCCTCCTCCTGGCACGCCACACCGGAAACGAGGGTGCTCCCGCGCGACCTTGAGCGGGCAGCTTGCGCGCCAATGCTGGCGCAAGAGCTCAAGTTGTTCTGAAACCACATAACGCGCGTCCTTCGGGCGGGTGGGTGGGTTCGCTGGCACACAAGATAACACGTTGCGCGCACTACGAACAGCACGCCTGGTGCGCTTAGCAGCAGGCGCTACTGCAGCGGGGGTGGGTGAAGCGGAGGGCGTTATGTTATCTACTGGGTGGGTGGGTGGGTGGGAAGCCACATAACGCGCGTTACGTGTTCGAGTGAAAAAACTTCAGCTCCAATCGACCCCGTTCTCTTCCGTCGCTCGACGTGGATCCCTGGAAGGCTGGACCCCTTCTGCAGGGGCTGGCTCGTCATCCTGAGCCGTTCTATCGAGCGGCCCCTTGGGGCCAGCCACGGCCCCCCTCCGAAGGCGAACACTGCCAACGCACACCCGTGCGCGACTTTCTCAAGACGCGAGCGGAGGTCTGTGGGGGGACGAAAAATTGCGTAAACATAAAAACTCAGAGGTCCGCGCAGCTTTCTTGGATCGGCGCTGGGGCCCCCTGGCGGCCCCTGGCGCGCTCCGCGCGCCAGGGAGGGGGGGTCGAGCGCCGATCCGAGAACGCCGCGCGGACCTCTGAGTTTCTATGTTTATGTCATCGTTCGTTCCCCTTGTATGGGTCCCGGGTCTGATGCGACCCCTGGGCCTGTCTTGCGGTACGCTCTGGCGAGAATTCCAAGGGCAATCCAGCCGCGGCGACGAGGACACCACCCGGAGGCGCAAGAAGATCCGAAAGACACCTCAGGGGCGTCCAGGAGGCGGGGCGTCCAAGAGGGGGAAAAACACAAATCATGGCCTGAGGCATGTGCGCCGACAACGTGGGGACCAGAGGAGGGGGCCATCACATCGGGGGAGATGTCACGGCCCCGGCCATCATGTGCCCCCGTAGCGATCATCACCTCTTGGCCGCCCCCGACGTCGCAAAAATCAAAGTTCGAGGCGTATCGCCGCGAAAACTATTCTACGCGGAGATCAGCATACATGCATCTCAGTTCCTGGCGCTCCCGTCTGTGAGTGTCTGAGTGACAGAATCCTGGCCTGTTGCGACTGAGCGTTCCCTAGCGGCTCTACCCACGAGTGCCTAAATGCTCTGCCTGCTATATCGGTATGGTCTTGGGGCTGTGAGAGGAGAGGGGTCGCGGATTCCAAAATCAGCGTTTCGCCTGCGAGGTCCCCCGATTTTGGGCGCGAGCTAGCAAGTGAAACACCCCATTTTATGCCATGCCTGGTATGTCACGGGGGCTCTCAAAAATGAGGGGTCTGGGGTCTGGGGGGGGGGCAAACATGAGCAAATCCCGTGCGACATCCCTGCAATCTGGGCGCGAACGGGCGAGTGCCCCCTCCTTGGCAGTCCCCCTTGGAGTGCCCAAGCGCAACGTCTGCTGTGCCGGGGTGATCAGGAGACTCTCGGAAGAGAGGAGCCTGGGGAGCAAAACGAGCGAACCGCCTGAGACATCCCCACAATCTGGGCGCGAACGGGCGAGTGTCATACCCGCTGTCGGCTCCCCCTTGGGTGCCCGAATGCAGCGCCTGCTATGTCGCGGTGGTCATACTGCGAATATGAAATATCACGTTGGGAGGGGTACGCGCGTGTGCGTCTGAATATGACTTGGCTGGGTATGAGTGGGGCTGAGCGTGAATGCGTACGAGTGTGGGTGGGCCGGAGCATGAGTGATCCGGATGTTCTGAGCGCTCTGACTGTGAGTGAGTCTACGTGTGAGTCAGTCTGCGTGTGAGCTGGTCCGAATACAAGCGGTCGGAGTGTGACGATTGGGGGCAAGACTGCGGAAGTGGGTGGGGAGGTGGAGGCGCTCCAATGAAAACAAGACCTCGCGTCGTCGAGCGGCGGTGGCCCCGCCGCTGGCGCTCAACGTTGAGCGCCTCCAGCGACCCAGAACCGCTCGAGGTCGAACGATCTGACGTTCTGGAAACGGCCGACCGTTCAAGGTTGAAAGGTCCCCGCGGTGTCATAAACCTCCGCCAAAATCGGCATGACACGAAGCTACCGTACTCAAGACCGTCATCATGATTTTTTCATGACGTCGACTCCCAAGAACTCGACCCATTCTCCGGAACCGGTTCTTCATCACGAGTCGCTTTTTGACCGGCCCGAGGCCTGGTGTGGGTCCCCAGAGGCCGAAACTAGCGAGAAACCTGCCGTCGTGACTTTTTCCCGAAGCGTGGAGGGCTGGGCACTCGGGGTGCGGGGGAGAAAAAAAGGCCGCCTGGACTCCCCGCCCAGCGTCGCGACCGACGGCCCCGCGGTGCGCCGGGTGCGCCGCAGCTCGCCGGCGAGGGCGCCGAACGCGTGCGCCAGCCGCGCCGAATGCAGGCCCTCGAGGGCCGCGAAGAGCACCTGCTGAGGGGTCGGGCACAGAACCCATTGATGTCATTGCACCGGCCTTGCAGACATGCTGCAGCGGATTTCTGCGTGGATTTTTCTCAGTGCAGCACCCCGAAACGGCGAGCGGAAAACGAAGTGAATTTCACCTGGATTTTTTTGTAGTCTTCTTTCCTGGCCAAAAAGAGTCCGCGCGAAATCCACTTCGAAATCCGGAGCGAAATTCTCCAGGACACTCCGGGCCCATCCTATTGTTCTTCGAAAGAGATCCGCTCTGCGATGTTGGCGCCATGATTGATGAATAGGGGGCAAAGTAATCACCCTCATAGTGAACAAGCGCCCGGAAAACGAAGGCGTTCAGTAAACGTGCAGAAGGAAGGCGTCAAGGCGTCAAACACGGCAGGGCCCTTCGGGTACACGCCCAGGACGGTTGATTGAACGCCACTGATGGGGGTGGGGGTGGTTTATCCTCCCTCGATTGAGAGAGCAGCACACTCAAACACATAGGGAGGAGGAATGGGGAAGGGCAAGGCGATGAAGGCGCGACAGGGAACTATCGAACTCTGAAGGGGGCTGCCATTCGAGCGGGGACCCGCGTCCGACAACACACGCCCAAAGCCCCCTCCCCCGGAATTCCACCCCCAGAAATCTGGGCGTCGCATAGGTCTGGGTGCTAGTGCTATGCTGCTCCCATCGTGCTTAAGGACCATATCCCAGAAATGCTTTCGAGCACCCCGGAAAGAATCGACACAATGTCGAACGAATGTCGCCTCCCAGGGCCCGACACGTGAAAACCTTCAAATTTCGGTATTTCCTTGGTGCTTGAAGTGTTTCTGGTCATCAAGGCTAAAGTTGGTTGGAACATCATAATGCTAATGGTTAACTCATGACCCGTCGTGACGTGCCAGAGTCTCGACGGATTTGTTTTGCGATTTTCGGTCTCCGGGGGCCCTCGCCGGGCCCCTGGGCCGTCGAACAGCGAGCTAGGATTAGGTCGGGCATGTCCCCCTACAGGCGGAGTTTGGAGGACAAACAAAACATTTTCAACAATTAATTAAAAATAATCACAGATAAATGAGAAATCGTCCAAATATTATTTTTGACTATTTTTGAATATTCCTCCTGTAGAAGGACGTGCCCGACATAACCCTGGGGGTGGGCCGGGACATCCGACTCCGCATTGTGAACAGACATCGCGACATCGGGGGTCTGGACGGTCCGAGGGTCCAGGGGGAGGCTGGGGGTTCGAGATCGGAGGAGGAGGGCGGAGGGCGGAAAAGGAGGAGGAGGAGGAGGAGGAGGAGAAGGAGGAGGAGGAGGAGCGTCGAGGTTCGAGGTCAAGTTCTGGATGTTCTGGTAATATGCGCGCCATCGAGCCTCCCCCCTTCTCCCCGCGCCGCCTTCGCGGCGCCCTCCTGGGCGGCGGCCGCCGGGGCCAGCTGCTTGCTGGGCCTCCTCTTGCCGCTGGTCGCGTTGATGTGATCGCGGGCGAAGTCGTGGAAGCCGCCGCGGGTGAACTCGAGGTCCTCCGCGCCCCCTCCTCCCTCCTCGCTCCCGCCCTCGTTCTCGTACTCGTCGTCGTCGTCGTCGACGACGACGTCGTTATACTCGTCGTCGTTGTCCTCCTTCTCTTCCCCTCCTCCTGCTCCCTCTCTTCCTCCCCCCCTCCTCCTCCTCCTCCTCCTCCTCCTCCTCAACCTCCTCCTCCTCCTCCTCCTCCTCAACATCCTCCTGCTCATCCTACTGTTCCTCCCCCTCCCCTTCCCCCTCCCTTCCCTTCCTCCTCCTCCCAGGAACTGACGGTTGTGTCTCCTGACGCTGCCACGTCTCTCCCCCTAGGGGCGGTCGTGAAAATGTCCTGGGCTCCAGTCGTGCTCATGTTGGTGGTTTCCTGCATGCTGATATGGCGGGCTGGCTGAATTTCGTCTTCCAGCAAACCGTTCATATTTTCCGCGTATAGCTACCTCCCATGGCCGCCTTTTGGATGGAGATGTGCTCTGGCACGTCCACTTGGCAGGTTTGGCGAAGGCGTGGCTGCGAGCTTGAAGGCTGGCGTCGGCGCCACTGCTGGCGGAGGCGTTCGCGTCCACGTCCTCCTCCTTGTGCTCGTCCTGTTCGGCGCTGGTGTCTCCCTCCAGGCGGTCGGCCTCCGCAGAGTCCCCCTCGGCGTCGGAGTCCTCATCCTCCTTGGAACCCTCCTTGTACACAGGTTTAGGGACCTCGTTGGCGCTGTCGGAGGCGGTGGCGGCGACATCGTCGGGAAATCGTCGGACAACTGCGCCGACAAGATATCCCCTTCCGCTGTGGTTAAAAGTTGGGCCGCAGTCGGGCAGGCGACCCCTGCCCTAGTTGCCGTGGTTCTTTCGTTGAAGCCACGATCCTGGCTGGACCGGTTTCCCCCTGCAGTCCCAGAGGGCAAGACAGATGCTGACGAGTTAGCGGCGGCCGTGACTGCGGCTGCGGCTGACATCGAGGCGAGGGGCAGCTCTTACAGCGACCTCTCGCTCCTGAATGCTGGCAGCGAGCGCGAGCATGCCTGGCGTCTGAGGCAGCGACTCCAGCCCGCGTTGGGGTTGACGAGCTTCAGGCGGCGGTAGCAAACACGCCGCATGCTGCATGCAAGCCGCTCCTCGGCGACTCGACTGGCTTAAACGAGTTCCGTCCTCGCGATGGCGATGATTCTTGCCTTCACAGATTCGGCGGAGCGTGGTTGGGGCTCCCGCAATCTTTCGCTGCGGGCAATCACAAGCCAAGAGGAAACAGCGACGCGCCGTGTAAGCCCCACACGTTGTACAGAAGTACGTGGTCGACTCTACATCATTTTTGGTCACACGCGTGTACGCAAGCGTGTGCCCCTTACTAAAGCCGAGGACCCCGCGCCACGTCTTACTTGGGCCAGGGCAGCCAGCAAGGGCCTAGTCGATGGGTCGCGCCAAAAAATAGGCACCGCAAGCATCTAGCACGATAGTTGAAGCCATCGGCGTCGTAGTCGTTGACGTCGGCGGTTGCGGTGTAGGCGTCGTTGTAGGCGACGGTACTGTCGATCTGGACAACGATGCACTTGTAGGTTGTAAAAAAGGAGAACGACATACATATAATTGTTTGGCGTTTTTCTTCTTCGAAAGTTGGCAAATTTGGGAAGTTGATCTTGGCGCTGAGTTGGTGAAGGAACTGCCGGCATTGTTGATGGCGCGGCCAATAGCAGCCACGTCAGCACCAGAAGCTCTTCTGCCAATTCGGGCCTGATATCCGAGCCTTCGCAGTGACGATCCGGTTGAAGATGTCGTACAATAGGGGCCTGACCGGAAGAACCGCTCCACAAGAAACCCAACCCTGAGACACTAGGACGTCCATTGGGTTTTGGTTTGGGAGCGTCACGCCTCCCACAGCAGAACCCTCGATACCCTAGAAACCCAGGGCACCCGGGAGGCAAGCAGGGTGCTACTTGGCATGGACCCCCAGGTGCAGGAGGCCTCGCCCCAGATGCGGTGGAGGTGTCTCGTACAGAGCCGCGGGGTTGTCGCCGGTGGCGCTGGCGTCATCCCAGCCGTGGATGCCGCGGAGCTCCTCGCCGCTGCGGCAACGCGGCGGAGCTGCCAGGTGCCCCGCCTGGGCCCGGCCACGGGCGGGGCGCACACGCGCCCCAATCGTGCGCCGGGCGCGCGCCCTTGAGCCAAGCTGGCTACGGCACCTCCTCCATGCCTTGTCCTCGTGTGTCGCTCCTCCCTGTCGCATCCCGAAAGCATCGGAAGGGTGGGCCGGGCGGTCGCCTGAGACGTCCCCACCGTTGATGATCCCGACGCTGTAGGACTAACGACGGCTTCACACATGGAGGGCGGGCGGTTTTGAACATGTGGCTCTCGCCTCCGCGCCGCGCGCACGGGTCTTTGGTACTTCGCAGAAGGTTCCACGGATGGAGAGCGGGTCGTATTCAAAATGTGGCTCTCGCCATAGCGCCGCGCATATTCGTTTTCAACAAACGCAAGAGCTTCAAGGATTGAGGGCGGCTCCTTTTCAAATCCCACCAGCCCTTTGGGCGTGAGTGGTTTAGAGAGCTCTCTCTGTCCTCAACCCCCCTTCTTCCCCTTCGGGGAGGGGTTTACCCCTCCCCCTCCCCCCTCCCCCTGGGCCTGGAGAGGGGGGGCCGCGGGTCGTTGGAGGGGTCTTTTCCGACTCCTGGGAGGGCTAAAAAACGACGACCCTCACGAGGATTCTGGCCCCGACGGGGGGGCGGAGATAGGCCCCTCTCCTCTTCTTTGAAGCCAAAATCATTGATTTTACTACGGTTTGGGCCCCATTTTGGCCTTCTGAGGGGGCCGCGCTCATCTTCCTTCATAGCAAAATCATTGATTTTACGAAGGTTTCGGGCTCATTTTGTCCTTCTCAGGGGGTAGCGCTCCTTTGCGCTTCAGAGGAGGTCGCAAGAGGCCCCAAGATGGCCCCAAGAGGCCCCCAGGAGGCTCCCAAGAGGCCCCCAAGAGGCCCCCAAGAGGCTCCCAAGAGGCCCCCAAGAGGCCCCCAAGAGGCCCCAAGAGGCTCCAAGAGGCCCCCAAGAGGCCCCACGAGGAGCCCGAACGACTCACACCAGGACGAGGGGCCCGAACGACTCACACCACGAAGAGCCCGAACGACTCACACCACAAGGAGGGGCCCGAACGACTCACACCAGGACGAGGCGCCCGAACGACTCACACCACGAGGAGCCCGAACGACTCACACCACGACGCGGGCCCCGAACGACTCACACCACGAGGAGCCCGAACGAGTCACACCAGGAGGAGGGGCCCGAACGACTCACACCAGGATGAGGGGCCCGAACAACTCACACCACGAGAAGCCCGAACGACTCACACCAGGACGAAGAGCCCGAACGACTCACACCACGAAGAGCCCGAACGACTCACACCAGGAAGAAGGGCCCGAACGACTCACACCAGGACGAGAAACCCCAAACGACTCAAATCACGAGGAGCGCTTTCTCTCCCTCCTCCTCCGCCTCGTCCTTCTCCCGCTCCCCCCACAAGGAGGATGTACAAGGAGGCGGGAGGAATGAGGAACAGGGGATATATGCGGGGCCAAGCGGACACACGCCTGAAAAACACGACTGCCGGCATGCTTCGCAAGAGTTGCTGCTGTGAGATGGGCTGGTGGGGATACGCGAAGCGTAAAGAATGCGGCTCTCGCCTTAGCTCCGCGCGCATTCGCCTTAAATGCTGACAACAGTTTCACGGACTTCCATGGTCAACGTACCAGAAATATTGTTAAGGAAGGATTCAGGTTGTCAGGGCGCATCAGTTACGCTGATTCGCGGTGTTGAAATCCCAGGAATGGTGTTCTGGCGCGGTTCAGAATTTTCAAGACGACACAGTCAGGTGATTCGTGGCGTTGGGGTTCCAAGCATGGTGTTTCGGTACGTGTCAGTTAGGTTTGAACTGGTCCTCCTCCTCCTCCTCCTCCTCCTCCTCCTCGTCCTCGTCCTCCTCCTCCAGGCTTGAAGAACTTAGTTTTTTGGGGGGTCCTACTGGCCACGGCTGTATTCGCCTCGAGACTCTGGTGCGAAAGCGCCCAAGGAGAGCCCCTCGTCCTCGTCCTCCTCCCCCTCGTCGCCGTCGTCGTCGGGGACGCGAGGCGCCTGTCGTTCTCGACACGCTCGGGTGTTGCCCATTTTGCATACAATAGCCCTCGCAACGGGCCTGGCCTTGGCCATACAGCCACCAGGAGGCGCCCACGGCGCCCCCCCATGATCCCCCGCAAGAGACCCCACGATGCCGCAGGAGTCCCTTGGTCTACCTCCCAACTGCGGTGGCGGCTTGGGCCGACCAGGAATCTGAAGACACGCAGAGCTGGACTCGTACGTGCAGCATGTGGCAGCTGGATGCTTGGCATACGCGTGGCGGGCTGGCGGTTGCGGCCACGCGCAGGCCAAGCGCTGGAAGAGACACGGATGCATGGGAGGGGGGTAGCGTGGGAGGTCGAGTGTGGGGACGCGGGGTGGGAGGATGAGACGGAGGGTCATGGTGGAGGGGGGAGACGGAGGGTCATGGTGGAGGGGGGGAGGAGGGGGATGGGGAGAGGGAGGGGGAGGGGGAGGGGAGGGGGAGGAGGAGGAGGAGGAGGAGGAGAAGGAGGAGGAGGAGGGAGGAGGAGGAGGAGGAGGAGGAGGAGGAGGAGGAGGAGGAGGAGGAGGAGGAGGAGGGAGGAGGAGGGGGAGGAGGAGGAGGAGGAGGAGGAGGAGGAGGAGGAGGAGGAGGAGGAGGAGGAGGAGGAGAAGGAGGAGGAGGAGAGGAGGAGGAGGAGGAAGAGGAGGAGGAGGAGGAGGAGGGAGGAGGGAGGAGGGAGGAGGAGGAGAGGTAGGAGGAGGGAGGAGGAGGAGAAGGAGGGGGAGGAGCGAGGAGGGAGGGCGAGGAGGGAGGAAGAGGGAGGAGGGAGGAGGAAGGAGGAAGGGAGGAGGGAGGAGGGAGGAAGAGGGAGGAAGAGGGTGGAGGGAGGAGGGAGGTGGGAGGAGGGAGGAGGGAGGGAGGGGGGAGGGAGGAGGAGGGAGGGAGGAGGAGGTGGAGGAGGAGGACGAGGAGGAGGAGGAGGCGAAGGAGGAGGAGGAGGAGGAGGAGGAGGAGGAGGGGGAGGAGGAAGAGGGGGAGGAGGGAGGGAGGGAGGGAGGGAGAAGGAGGAGGAGGAGGAGGACGAGGAGGAGGAGAAGGAGGAGGAGGAGGAGGAGGAGGAGGAGGAGGAGGAGGAGGAGAAGGAGGAGGGGGAGGACATCTTGATACCAAGTCCCGCCCGGGCTGGCCACGTCGTGTGCCCAGCCTGCCTGGTGCGGCGGGGCCTGGGCTCCCCGCACCGATCCCGACGTCGCCATTTTGTCCCACGACGCGGAACCCCAGAGGTCTCGACCACTTTCCCTGCACCAGCTTCTCGTCCCAAGCATGGTCTCTCGGCGGCGCGCCCGGGGGGAAGTCAGAAGTGCGGGGCAACGACAGGGGTGGATAGGCATAGGGGGGGATGCATCGACCTGGAATCGGCGAAACATCGTCGAGAGATCCGCACCATCCTGTGCAGGTTTGGGGCTATCGGGCCCCTATCGGCGATCAATGGGCGATTGGGGGTCGATGCATCCCCCCCTCTATGCCTATCCCCCCTATCGTAGGAGGAGAAGGAGGTGGTGGATGAGGGGGATGGGGGAGGAGGAGATGGAGAAGGAGGAGGAGGAGGAGAAGGAGGAGGAGGAGGGAGGAGAAGGAGTAGTAGGAGGAGGAGGACGGGTCGCCCAAGCCCTTCGGAGAAACCCTCCAGCGCGAGGGCTTCTGAGGAGTCCCGCCGCCAATTGAGAGGACCCTCTCCTTTCACTTCCTCCCCCCGCCCGCCGCCGAGGCATGTTTTGGCCGCGGCAAGGCCCAGCAAAGGCAACCGGAGGCCGACCATGGCCCAAAATCTTGTTCGTCGTCTTCTTGATATATATGTATATATGTATATGTACATGCATAGAATACATATATATACATTTACACACATATAACGTGATTGTATATATGTCTGCACATGTGTAGGTATGTATGCATGCATGCATGTATCTATGTTTATGTGTGTATATGCATGTATGTATGTATGTCTGTATGAGTGTATGTATGGATGGATGCATGTATGTATGTAGGTGTGCACGCATGCATGATGGCAGGCATGCGTGCATGCATGCATGTATGCCTATATATATAGATGTATGCATGTGTGCATTCTGTCTGTCTGTCTGTCTGTCTGTCTGCATGCATGTATGTATGTATGTATGTACGCACGTACGTACGTACGTACGTACGTATGTATGTACATATATGTACACGAATTGATTACTTCATAGCTTTATTTCATTCTGTAAATGTATTTCGGGTGTGCGTTTTTGGTTCAGGACGCGAGAGGGCCTCCCAAGCACGCGATGTCTGGCTTTCTTCCGCACGGGCCCCCTGGGAATCCCGACCCCTCCACTGGGACTGGCTTTCCCGCCCGGGTCGCTTCCATGACGGCCCTCGGAGGCCCAGAGAGGGCCCCGGGAGGCCGAGCGGGGCCCGGTCATGGCCCCCAGAGGCTGAAACCAGCCTTTG